ATTAGTCTTCAACCATTCACAGGGGCAGTTGTGTCTTACGCTTTTTTTATTTTTTTTTGGCCTGAAAATATTGGTGTTCTCAGTATCGAAAGGACGATCAACAAAGGGAAGATCACGAGAGCTAGAAGACAACCCGCCCAAAGATTTCACGGCAATGACGGCATCCACTTGCATATCTGGTCGTACCGATTCTCATTGCCATCTTTTGATCTGGACCGTCTACGTTGTCCAATCGTGTGATTCTGATTGAAACTTGCTCGATCTATCGCCGATATACATAAAATCTATCCACGTCATTACTTATTTGATTGATGAGATGGTAATTAACTGATGATATACCTGGTCAACGAGTTACAGTTAGTCTAATAATATACATTGCCTACGTGCAATGTGGGGTCCACTTTTTGCTTTGCGTTTAATTTTAGTTTTATCTTAAACCTGCGGAAATGAACTTTGCTCACGCAATCAACGCTGAAGAGTCAAAGGTTAGGTGAAGACTGTAAAGTTCAAAAAAAGGTAAGGACTTTAAAAGAAGTTTTTAGTCAACTCATCTCGTGGATTTGAATTTTGTTAGAAAAATTGAATTCGAGGACCTAGTTCCCAACTAACAAACTAACAAAGGATTGTTTTTTTTTTTTTTTTAAATGAAACTCAAAAAAAGTTTAAATTTGAGTTATAATTTTATTTAAGATTATATTTTTTTATAAAATTTGAGTTTGAATTTAAGTTTAAAGTTAAATTCAAGTTTAAGTTTTTCTAGTTCATAAACTTAAACTCAAGTTAATAAATAATATTTTTTTTATTTTTAAAAATGTTATAACTTTTTCATTTTAATTATGATTGAGATAATTTTTTTTTCTATGCATTCGCAACGAAAAGACGAACTAAACGTGTCCATTTGAGTTTAAAATTCAAATTTTTTATAGTAAAAAACTTTCAGAAACAGTCACATTTAATTTTTTTACTACAGTAAAAAGTTTTCACATAAAATTACATCTCAACTCGAATTAACAAACTAAACGGGCCCTATCTACTCACTAATAAAAGCCTGTTTGGTTCATAGATTAGAACCATTTTCAATTTATGTGTGTTTTTTGTGAGGGAAAATACTGTAGTGAACTATGAATCATGATTCAAGTCAGAGAACGAATCTTCCAACTAAACGGGCTCACTCTCGGCAGATTTTAAAGTTGCCATAGAATTTATTAGAAGCATGACCAAGAGGACCTGTGATTTGTGACCATGTATAAATTTCAATTAAATACATGCATTAATTAATATCTAAACCGCTCCTACCTAACATCTAGAACAAAATAATAGACTATTTCTTTATTTTTGACTGTGATTTATATGTTTCCCGTTAACAAATCAATTGGTATTAATTCGTGCAATTTCTTTATTTTTGACTCGTAAGAACACAAGATGACTTTAGCTGTTACCTCATGTATATGACTTGAGGCTCTCAGAGGATAAGGATAAGCATAATACGTATATGAATTGTAGTGGTTATTGAATTGAAAAAAAAATAATAATAATAAAAAAAAAGGGTCCATCAAATTAAGTTCACCGGTGGTTGGTTTCTCGTACCAATTATGCTGAAGTGTGTTAGAAAGTATAACCAAATTGAAGCTATTTTTACTGTAGTTTTTATGTATAACCGAATATGAGGTCAACTAATTATATACTTCAGACTCAGATGATGAGATCTATTAGCTGATTTGTTTAGATATACTATTCTTCTTCTACAGACAACGAAGGTTTTGTTTTTGTTTTTTTTTTGCCCCCACAACTGAGAGAAAATCTGAAGTAACTGTCTTAAATACGTGATAGGTGATCAATTATTACAGCCCTAAAAAAAATTAATTGCAGAACTGTCACGCTCCCAAGCGGGATGGGTGACGTAGAGCTCGATTAGAGATTAATAAAGCAGATTCCCAGACGAGCCCCACTCGACTGACTTAAAATATAAATGAATTAATACAAAATTCCGGAGCCTCTGACACACAGGGATTCACCCCACAAGACATACAGTATCGTACATACATGCTCATGTAAACTAGTAAATCCAAATATTACATAAGTTTACAGAATTTATCAAATTCCTTACATTTGTCCAAGAGGATGTCCACGATCCGCTCTTGATTCCAACAGCAGCACAACTCAACTGCTCCGTAGCAATTATCCAGCTACAGTGTCCCGCTCCTAGAGTCTCCTGGGAGGGGTTTAATACATTTGAAAAATAAAACGTGAGCGAAAGGCCCAATAGGATGTTATTTACAAATACGTAAAGTAAATAAATAGATAAAGTGCAAGTAAATAAATAAATGGGTACGTAAATAAATAGACGTTCAGTTCCAACAGACAGCCGGAACCTTATATCATTTTTCTCAAAGGAAATAAATGTAAAATCTCCATATTACAGGCTTCAGCAAGTAATTAGTACCAATTACTTACCTAACCAAGTGCCTCACCTACCCGGACCGAGTTTCGGGTTCTGCCCTCGAGGATGCACTCTCCGCATCCTATCTAGGCTTACAGCAATAGACTCTATTACCAGTTCACAAGATCTCTTTATTAAGAAATCATTCATTAACATTTTGAAATCGTTAATACGACCCCACGAACTACTCAAGCCGCGGGCCCCATGACTGGACAAGCCATGAGGTTCCATGACTAAACAAGCCATGGTTTTCAAAACGTTTTCTTTCACAAACCAATCCCTTTCTTTAAACATTTTCAAGGCCAAAATCCTTTTTGAAAATAGGCTCACAAGGAAAAGGGATAAAAATCCTACCTCGCACTATCAAACCTGGGACTAGCGTCACCTTTTTCGGCTTCCACTTCCTCAAGCCCCTTCAGTCTGAATCCTCAGCGATCACTGATGCAAGACAACACTTTAGGATTAATTCTCATTCCCAAAGCAATCCAAATCTCAATTTCCAACCAAGATTTCCTATTAGTGTGCCCTAATCCATTTTCATGTTTCAAATTATCATTCCAAGGGTTTTCAATCACAAATCAAGGATTAAAGATGCTAATCCATTCATCTCAAGTCCCCAAATGAAGCTAATTTGGGTTCTCCCAGAAAACAGGAGTCAAAACAGCAATTTCAGGCCAAACAGGGTCAAACCCGTGTCAACCGGTCGACTGGTGACAGAGCAGTTTAACACTACCAGTCGACCGGTAGTGTGCGTCCGGTCGACCGGTTAGCCTGCAATCTGGTCGACCGCATAGGTTGACCATTTTCCATGTGATCCGGTTGACCGCACTGGTCGACCGGTGGAATCAGCTGCGCGAGAGAAGCTCGCGAAAATCAGTCTAAAATCTGTAAATCTCAGTCCCAAATTGAAATATTTCAAAGGAAAACTACTAGATCTGGGTTCTAGGTCCTAAAACAAGTCCAAAGAACCCAAGATCTCCAATTTCTACCCTAGTTTTACTCAAAAATCATCAAAATCCGGTTTGAACCAAAAATAAGTTTTGAAATTAAAAAACTTGAGATTCAAGAGAGGTTATTTCAGCAATCTTACCTCGAATCCTTCTCTTGACGTTGAAAACTTCTTTAAATCTTTCCTTGGTTCAAGATCCATTTGATTTGGGACAAAAAATGAGAGAGAGATGCACGGGAGAGTGAGAGAGAGGGAGTGAAAGAGAGAGAGAAAGTGCACGGGAAGGAAGGAAGGAAAAGAAAAAGAAAGAAAAGAAAATGGAAAGAAAATGGACAAGTGTCAATATTTTTAAAAAGCAGTCCAGAAATGCGCCCATACATACTTCTGGTTTAAAATAAATTACTGAGAATAATTTAAATACCTTGGAACTATTTAAACTCACACGTGTCATAAAAAATTTATTAATTAATACTCAATTAATAATCCAGATTAGGCACACTAATAATCTCAATTACCTTAATTAATCTTAATTAATTCTTCAGGGTGTTACAAGAACACATGTGAACAAGTTTTATATAGGGAAGGGAAAAAGGGGTCAACAGTTGGTGATAGATTTAGGCCTTGTACGATATACTAATTTGCAAAAATACCCTAAAACACATTTTTTAGAGTTCTAACATTTAACTGTAATAGGTTACTCTTTTAATAATAATTTTTCAAATTTTAGATAATAATTTGTTAAATTACGCCTGTCACTAGAGACCCACCGTCGGTGACATCTGTCAAATTATTATTAATAATTAGTCAAATTACGTACTCAAAAGAGACAAATTTAATATGCCAATGTGGAGATATAAATTTTTTTAATAATATCATTTTAAGGAGTATTTATTAAAATTACTCAATAACTTACTTGGAACAAATTAACAAACAATATATAATAAAGGACACATTTTAAAAAATTAATAATAAACAACAAAAATAGGTCACAGATTTAGAACTATTTTTTTAAAACTTTTTTTTTTTAGAAAAACAATCACGATGATAAAGCTGTTGCATACCGCATACCTAAATAATATCACAGGAGATAAGTTATATGAATTTTTTGAGAAATAGATTGTCCATATGCCTCGTTTATTAAGATAAAAATTGACTCATACTCAAGACCTTATCAAGAAAAACAAACAACTTTACTAACCTACCAAATGACCTGTAAAAATTTGTAGGCAATGTTCTTAATAAACACATAAAAAAACACACACACACAACTCATGAGTAAATCACGATAAGACTTTTGGACAAGGATAACACCGTGGCCTCTAAAAGAAGGTAATTTAAGAACTTGTTTGTTGTTTAATCTCGTGAATCTAAGTACCAAACAAAATCTTTTGATATTTTCCTTTAAGGGAAAAAAAAAAACGTAACAAACGAAATAAAATAAATATATTTTTAAAAAACAAACAAAATAAAATAAATAGAAGTGTTGACAGTGATGGGGAGTACAGAAATCTCAAACAGGCATCGTTTGTTGGATAGCTGTTGTCCGCAGCATCCACAATTTGAATATAATCTCCCTTCCCCACTCCACCATTCCAAATGTCGACCCTTTCCTTTCACACACAGTGACTTCCTCAATCAACTCAAAAATTCAACCCTCCTATAAATCTTCCAAAACCCCGCCTTTCTCATAATTTTCCTTTCTCTTCCCTCTTTGTTTTTCCCTCTCCTCTTCCTACTTTTTGTCCATTTCCTCTCTCTACACCCTGGTAAGTCACTTTCCCGCAGTTTCCTCGGCCATCTTTCTCTCTTTCGATCGAGTCTCGGTATTCAAACCAAACACAACAAAAACAACGTTCTTTGTGTAACTAGTTACAAGCATGTGTGTGTATAAGCTACAATAATAGTCTTCTTACGTCTTTGTTGGTGGCAGAGAAGGAATATGGCGGTGATCTCAAGAGGACAAACGGCAGACCTCCAAAACCATTACAAGCGATGGAAAGAGAGATCAGAAACCAGCCCCGAAAGGAACAGAGTTTGGACTGAACCACCCAAGCTCAAGGAGAGAAAAGTCCCTGTTGTTTACTATTTGTCTAGGAATGGTCAGCTCGAGCACCCCCATTTCATGGAGGTTCCTCTTTCTTCTCCCGAAGGACTCTATCTCAGAGGTATTTTTACTTCTAAAGTTTTTTTTTTTTTTTTTTTTCCTTTTTTCGTTTGGATTTTCTTGGTTGCCAAACGGAAAAATAATGTTGATGTGTTGAATTTCTGATTCTCAGACGTCATTAACCGATTAAACGCGCTCCGAGGCAAAGGCATGGCCACCATGTACTCCTGGTCTTCAAAGCGGTACGTTTACACCGATCAATATTTGCCGTCCAATGAAAATGGTAATTATTTTCATTTTTACGTTTTTTTGTGGAATAATCAGAAGTTACAGAAATGGATTCGTGTGGCACGATTTGTCGGAGAATGACTTCATCTACCCAGCGCATGGGCATGAATACGTTCTCAAGGGCTCGGAGCTTCATTTGGACCCGGTTTATGATCCCAAGGTCCTCGAAACGGCGTCGTCGCGGTGCCTGAAGCCGCCGCCGGAGCTGCAGAAAAGCTCCGGAGACGATGACTTTCCGGCGGTCGTGAGGCGGAGGAACCAGTCCTGGAGTTCAATCGACCTCAACGAGTACAAGGTTTACAAGGCCGAGTCGTTCGGCGAGTCCGCCGGTAAAGCCGCCGCCGATGCGTCGACTCAGACCGACGACAAGAGAAGGCGACGGCGAGCGGCGAGGGAGGAGGAAGAGAACGAGAAGGTTCGAGAAGGAGGAGGGAAGAGTGAAGGGGAAATCTGCGAGAATCAGAGTACGGAGCTGAGCAGGGACGAGATTTCGCCGCCGCCGTCGGATTCGAGCCCGGAGACGCTGGAGTCGCTGATGAAGGCCGACGGACGGCTGGTGCTGTGCGCCAACGGAGAGAACGAGGAGGGGCCGGATCGGACGGCGGGGAATTGCCCAAGTGGAAGGACGAGGGCGTCGTCGGTTCTGATGCAGTTGATATCTTGCGGTTCCGTGTCGTTTAAGGACTGTGGGCCCACGTTGGTGAAGGATCATGGGCTGTCGCTGATTGGGCAGTACAAGGCTCGGCTGCCACGCGGAGCAGGGAATCAGGTGGGGGCTACGACGGAAAGGTCAAACTTTTCGGGGTCAAAATTGGAAGACAAGGAGTATTTTAGCGGGAGTTTGGTGGAGACAAAGAAAGAGGCGATTCCTGCTTTGCAAAGGTCTACTTCCTACAATGCTGATAGGTGAGTTTCTTTTTCTTCAGCTTGTGGAATCTTTGTTGAATTTTTTCTTGATTATTGTTATGGAAGTTTGGAAAATTATCTTCTTAAATTTTGTACAAACACGTGACTTTGTATTTAAATTTATGGACGATATAAAAATACTTTTGTGCCTTGATCGGATAATAGAGAATGACCCCATAAGATGTAAAACCTATTTTGCAAATTTTTTTGGCATATAGTACTTGAGCATTTCATGAGTTAAATGGAAAATGCATCCATGTGAAAAATCTGAAAAATGGCAATAGTTGCAAGAATTGTTGAAGCTACGTCGTTTTAGAATTAGAATAACCTCACACGTATCACTGTTTTTGATAAACAAACAAAGAGCTGTTGTGTAATGAGTCCAGATTCTACTCCGGTTATAGAACAACATGGAACTTAGGGTGCGTTCAGTTCATAAATTAAAATTATATGATTAGAATCATTTTTAATTTACCTGTATTTTTTGTGAAAAAAATACTGTAATGAATTACGAATCATGATTCGAATCAGGGAACGAATCCATTTACCAAACATCACCTTACTTTATTTATTAGTTATTATCTGTCAAAACTACAGTACAAGTGCTTGTAGTTCAGAGATAGTGGTAATAGAGTACTAGTAACACCCCCCAAAGCTATATTGAAGATAACCTAATTGGGGTTTGGTAATGTTTTGACTACCTTAATCAACGTAGTATTTCACATATGTTACACCTAAATGCAGGAAGTTTGCGTGAAAAGGAAGGTAACACTTAAGAGGACGTTTGTTTATTATATTTGTCTTGATTCTGAATTATAATTTATTATTTTTTATTGTATTTTTCTCTTAAAAAATCACGTAAAATAAAAAAAAAATTTAAATTATGATTGACTTATTGTACCTAAAATAAAAAGACTTTTATGGTAAGCTAAATATAGAAACCATAATTTAGTCATAAAGCGACGGGGTATAAGGGGTTTTTTCCTTTTTTTGAAAAAAAATTAATATATGGGGTAAAATTTGTTCTTGTGAAACTTGACACGAGAGTACCTACTTCTCAAAGAGGAGTAAAATGATTTCTTACATTTGCCCAGTTGCCTTTCCTGCCTGTGGCTTTGGGTCAGAAAATTTGATTCTCTGATAGCCCTTTTGGCCTGCTTTGGATTTGAATGCAAGATTCGTACGGAGTTTTAACACAAAAGCCAGCTGGCTTTCTTTATTTTGTTGTGCAAACTCAACATAGTATTACATTTGCACTGTACTTCGCTACATAGCACAGAAGCAGGTAGGTAGCTGTAGACAAAAATCCGGGTCATGATTATCATACTGAAAGCTGACCCGTCCGTCTGATTAATGGGGCATACGTAACTTGTTATCTGATCAATGTGGGACCCAAAACCAGGATATCTTAGCTGGTGAATTTAGTTCATCAAGATCTCTTTAAAGCCGCCCATCGGGTAAAAAAGGTCAGCGGAAAGGGCCAAGGGGAACCACAAAAGCAAAAGGAGTAATTGAATTCTGTTTCCTGATGCTCGGGACGAGACTCATAAAGCAGGAGAAATGGAGTATTTAATTGAATGGGTTGACTTTTTGTTCAATGATGACTTGCTTTTTGGCCTTTTCATATTTTTCTATTCTTTTGAGATTTACAAGTATAGGAATTAGAGTAATTTTAATAATTTTAAATTATGCCTCGTTTTGCAGGAGTTCTCAGTTGGAATTGGCTAAAGAAGAAATAGGAGTTCGAACAAAGTGCATACCAAGGAAGCCAAAGGCAATGCCATCCAAGAAAGAGTGCAACATCATCACTTCTTGTGGCCATGGAAGTAGTAGCGAAGGAGGAAGCAAAAGATTTGACATTCACACATGAGTCAAAAAGATGGAGAAAAATGTGAAATTTGCGGTTTGTAATTTGTACATTGAAAGTTGGTATGTAGTTTGGAGCTGAAAACACAGAAGAAAGAATGTGGTAAAGAGAGAAACGTGAACGACAACGAGAAACATGGCAAAATTATGCGGTGGTTGAATTGCATGTCACGGCATTAGAAGGCACGTAAACTAAGGCCGTGATTGTGAAAAAAAGAATGTGGCTTAGGAATCATATAAAACTCTTTTTATCTTTTTTGTCGAAACTAGGTAGCCCGTTGACTGATAGTACATTCTAGTTTGGCGTTTATGAGTTGGGATATTTATATTTGGTGCCTTGGTGTTAGTGGGGGGTTGAAATTTTGCCTTAAATTTTTGTGATGTAGTGGAAGATTGTGACCAAATGCTTTGACTTGTGAGTCATGGAAAACGACTATGTTCCTAGGTATTAGAATCCACTTTGGCTAGCCACATCGTTTCCTAAGCACGCACGTGACTTCTATGGGAGTCTGATTTCTCAGAGCCGGCATGTTATAAAGATTAGAGAGGTATTTTGGTTCCTTCAAGAAAATGCCAAATGCCAATTCCATCGCTTATTTTGCTAGTTTTGCTGGGCTATTACGAATGAGTATGAAATCTATGGTATCTAGTGGCGGGTTTGTAAACAAAAGTAATTGTTAAGTGAATAAACCTAGTTGGATTTCACCATGTTAACCAACTTGAAGTTCTTGGATAATAACCGACATTCTGTTTAGAGTGTTCAGTGATGAAATTACGGGGAAAGGAGATAATTATTTTTAGAGTGTACGAGTCTAGATTTTTTATTTTATATTTTTAATTGATATTTTTTTTGTCAAATAATTATATTAGTTAAAAGATATTAATTAAAGAGAAATGTTAGTATCACTATTTTTATTATTCTATTTATCACTTTCTGTATTTTATTTGACATGTGAATTCTATTATTTTATTTTCTATTTAAATAATAATATATCAAATTAGTGAAGTCCACATGTCAAACAGTAAATACAGAATGTGACAGAAAAAGTAACGTTAACATTTATTTGAAAACCCAAGTTTGGCCCAGTATATAGTTTATGATCTTTTTCTTCAGTTTATGATCTTTTTCTTCAAAATATTAAGGGTAATCTTGACAAATACTCTTTAAAAGTACACAAATTATGATTTTTATTATTTATTCTTGATTCATAACCTTCTTAATTAAATAATTACACTAAGAAAATGATATTTATTAAGAATAATGAGTAAAAGTTTAAATTCACGTATTTTTAAAGATAAATTATTTATTTTTTTCAAACATTCAAAAGGCCGTGATAGGCCCAATATCTTATGATAAACAAATAAAGAACACAGAAGAGAAAAACCTGAAGCACAAAGAATAGAAGAAAAGAGGAGGGCCCTGTGAGATGAGATGCGTGGACTGTTATGCAGATGTTAATTATACTTCATGAGTAAGAATCTAGGAGTTTTGCTTCTTCTTCCTAATTGTTTCTTCCACAAATTTGCTCTTTGGCAAGTTTTATAGAAAGAATGCTATAAATCTGAAGCTAGAGTTTTGCCTTTCTGAAAAGAATGATGTGCTTAAACATAAAGGGTACATGCAAATCGTTTTGCTAACGGTAACGGGGACAAAAAAAGATAAAGGATAATATAGTGGTTTTTGTCTTAATTATTTAGCAACTAAATTTTTGTTAGTTCGTTGAGAAATGCTAGTATCACTATTTTTTTCACTTTTTTTGTTATTTTTTACATTTATTATTTGACACGTAAACTCTATTATTTCATTTTTTATTTAAATGATAATATACCATAACTAACATGTGCCAAACAATTAATGCATAAAGTGACAAAAAGAATTATAGAAATAGTAAAGCCATTTCTCATAGTTAGTTTGCAACTTCATCACTTTTTTTAGATTAATTTCAAAAATTCCCTCCGAACTATGACCATTTTAACATTTTGTCCCTCGAATTTTAAAAAGTAACATATGTTCCCCCAAATTTTATTCCGTTAACAAATTTTATTCGTATGTTACAATGATTGACAGAAATCACCACGTGTCAAGTACATAACCCATCTAAAGTGATATTATCGTAAATTTACCTGCAACAACTTTATATTATTAAAAAAACAATAAAAAAAAACTCAAATGCGTTAAAAAAAACTCATTTTAACACGGAGACCAATATCTCACGTATCAAAACTAAGATAAGAACCTCTTATTTTCAAAGCTTAGGTTTTGATAGAGAAACAAAAGGAAATCCATGGCCGAAGAGTTCATTGCTGACTCTACAAACGGTGTTCCCATGAATACCGCCGCCGCCGCCAAAGCCCCCAATTCTATCTCCCCCATCATCCTCGGCTGGTTCTATGAGATTAGGCCAATGTGGCATGGTTCATTCTCTCTCTCTCTCTATCATCTCTCTTCTTTTTTGTTTGGCTTGTGAGAAATTACGGGAAAATGAGGTGGAATATTTGAGTATTTCAGTTGTTCTTTAATCATATGATTTTTTCATAAGGTCAAGACATAAGTTTTTTGGGTTTGTATGATTGGTTTGTATATAATATTCATGTGTGGATCTACTTTATATGCAGGGGAGGCACACTGCTTAAGGATGGAGAAAATCTCACGATCTTTCATTTTTTTTGACGTAATGATAACAATGAAAGCAACCAAAAAAAAAAAAGAAAAAAAAAGAGAAAAATATATATAATTTTAAAAATGAGAAATTATCTGATTAAGAGAATATAAACGTAATTATATTTTTAATTCTCACTAAATAAGTGATACGTGACTATTCTGTTCATTATTATAACAGAAAGATAAAACTTGTTAATAAAATAAAATTTAAGAGAACAAATGTTATTTTTTAAAATTTAAAGAATAAAATGATAAAAAAGTCATAAAGGAATTTTGGAAAATTTTTCTTTTTCCCTAAAATTGCAACTTCATCATTTGTTAAAAGACATTTTCCATTTACTTTTGCAGCTTTGCTTTGAGTTACGTCTGCCTGTGGACAAAGACGACGTGAAAGCTATTGAAGATTATTCAGTGTTCTTGGACCAGACAATACTGAATCATCAACACGAAAAAATATTTGAAATAGTATGAAATAGGCTAATATAAAAATTTTAAGAAAGTATATAGGTTAATTTTTAGTTATAAAAATCAATAGGTTATAACTTGTTAAGTTATGGTTCATAACCTAATAAATTATAGATAAATTTGTCAAGTTATAGTTCATAACCAAGTTATGGATAATAACTTGTCAAGTTATGATTCATAACCAGATAAATTATGGACGAAAACAGTAATTTAACCTATTTATTAACTTATATAAACTATTGACCTATTAATTTTAATTTATCTCAAGTTTTAATCTATTTTTTTTTTCTCCCTATAAATATGTAAAACTCAAAACTGCTATTAGGCTTCGGAAGCGCCAGGAGCCCAATTGCAACGCTCGTATAAACTCAAAACTCACAGGAGAATATTCTTTCTTTCTTTCTTTTCCTTTTGTTCTAAAAAGTGAAATATCTTTGAAGAGAAATTATAGTAAATAATAGATTTTAAAATAAATTAAATAAATAATAAATTTTAAAATTATTTAAAATAAATAATAATTTATTGTATAAATGTATCATTTAAAATTGGAAAAATAATTAATTTGATAAAAAAATTTAATAGTCATAAAAAAAAATTTACATAAAATTTTTTTTTTACTAATAATAAATAAAATATTTATGCAATAAACTATTTTTTACTTTAAATAATTTTACAATATGTTATTTACTTAATTTAGTTTCCTCAATATGTTGTTTACTATAAAATTCATTATATTCAAAGCTGATGTAGGAATAGAGCCAAGAAAACATAAAATTCTAGAATCATCATCACAATGGTAATAACAACACAAAGCAATTATAAAATAATAATAATAATAATAACACAAAGCAGAGAGAATTTATAACTTCCAATTATTTTCTTTATGTGGCAATATATAATCATAAACGAAAAAATTACCAATTACTGCATTTATAACGAGAGAGAAGCATTTTATTATACTGCGTGATTGAAAAACTGTCTGCCTTATGGGAAAAAAATAATAATAACGCACACACAAACAAATGTGTTATATATGCAACACTTCATCAACAAATGAATAGTTTCTCTAAAATAAGGAACAGATCATTACAAAACTAGTAACAAAAAATACAACAATCGTATTCAAATAAGGAACAGATCTTTTCTTCCTCTTTTATTTGTTCTTTCTTGATGGGCTCTGGATGCTTTAACTCTTTACATTTATTATTATTAGTTGAAGAACTTTTTTTTTTTTTTTTTCATTTTTCTATAAGGAGGTCCTAATATCTTTTAAAAATTTTATAGTTTATGTTTTAATCATTGTTTTCTTAAAAATTAAATCTAATAGAAAAAATATTGAATAGAGCAACTCTAAAAGGAAAAAAGTTTTTTTATAGGGATAGGCAAAACAAATTATTTAATGGTACATGTGAAAAAATTTATTTGGAGAAAGTGCGGATAAAATGTTTTTATAAAGACACATTTGAAAACAAGATATTAAAGATTATTTATTGGGTGTATATAGAAAAAAGTATTTAAGAGGGTCATTTTGCAAGAAAAAAAGTTTTAATTAGGACATATATGAGAGAAAATTATTTCAATAGGACAATTAGAGAAAAGAATATTTATGAGGGTCACATTTGCGAAAGGAACAAAAAAAAGAAAATGAATGTAATGCATAGGAAAAAAAAGGAGGCAAGAAAGAAGCGAGAGGGAAAAAAAAAAAAGAAAAACAAAGTTAAAATAATTATTTTTTTTGAGTTAATGTAGAGAGAGAATCATGCTAAACGTTTCGCACCTCCTACAGAAAAATCAATTCTCCTAATGGATTATTATTATTATTATATAGCCTTTTTTCCCCTCTAAGTGGACTAAATGAAGATTGAATTTCATGAATTTTTAAAGTTCTAGCTTACAATTTGATATATCTATAAAAGTTGAAATTAGACTTTATTCCCTAAAGCAATCAAAATTTTGTATTTAAAAATTTGGAATATCCTACTGGCCTTATTTCCTTCCGGCCCAGATGAAGATAATCAACTATGTATGCATCCAATCCAAAGTACGTAATATACGTTAAAAATGGAAAGAGTAATTATATTTGCACCTACTAAATTTATTAATACCCCCACCAAATCATAATTTATTATTATTATAATTTTATCCTATATTAAAATTACATAAAAACCCATTAATATATCCTTTCAAATTATAAATAGAAATAATATTTTTTTCAAAGAAATAAAAATACATATACCAACCGATGATAGAAATTGGTAACTATAATTAATGTTTTCGTTCTCAATATATATATATATATATATATATATGGCTGCAAGTAACTTTGATGCTCTTGTAATGCAAGCAGACAAACCAGATTGCACAAATTAATAACATAATCAAATTAGACTCAAGAGTCATAGAAATAATGTCACAAATATTGCTGTACACGATGCGAGTTTATTTTGCTTAAATTTGTCATAAAAATGTGCGTTTATACAAATATAGGCACTTAGAATTTAGAAAAACATGCGACAACTGGACAATCATTTTGTTGAGGTAATATTTTGTACTTTCTCTGACTTGAATTTTATGATATTAAATTTCTCGGGTTTATGTTAAAGATGTTGACAAATAAACGTATAGGATAAAAGTTGATGAATAAAAATATTTTGAAAAAGAAATATACAATTAATAGTTAAAAGGAATTATAAAAAGAATTATATTATTTTATAAGTCAAATTAAGATTAACATTACCATAGGATATAAGAGGGTTAAATTAGGTCTTGTAAAAATAATATCTATAAAAGGATATATCTTATAAATTTTTATTAAATTAGTATTAATTATTAAGGGTATTTATAAATTTTGGAGGTGCAAATATAACCACTCAAAAAAATTAACCAAGGATAAAAAAACATTTTTTTGTTTTACCTTTTTGAGGTTATTATAGACCCCATTTATTTTACTGATTCGAGTTTTACTAAGTAAAAAGCTCTCGCATACAGTCACATCTAACTTTTTTTTATAGTAAAAAACTCTCACATAAAGTCACATCTCAACTCGAATTAAAAACTCAAATCAGTGAACTAAACAGACCCATAATTAACTGGTCGAGCAAATACAACTAGGATTGTTCCTTGGTTAGTCAAAATCCAGAATTGACTTTGGATTTGGAAACCGACCACTCTCTTAAATTTCTGTCCTTCCTAAGTTTATGCATAGTAGGATAAGTTGAGGGAGAAATCTATTGAGAAATTAAGAAAGGTGTGAAATCTAAAGGGGAAAAAAATAGAGAGAAAAAAAGGAGGCTAGGATTTCTTATTAAATTGCTTAAAAATAAAAGGATTTTATATGTTGTTTCATCTTTTTTAGGAAATGTTCTCTGTTTATGAGTCATCAGATCTGTATTACATATAATCAAAAGTCAAATTAGATTGAAAAAATAATACAAATCAGACGGTTGATAAGTAGGAAACACCGGTGTTCAAAAAATACACCAGAGAAATTCTTAAAATTAAAATACATCAGAACATAAAGTTTTTAAATAAGAAAAAGACTATTATATCCTTACTAAAGATAAAGACTAACAACTAAGAGTGCGTTTGGTTGTAGTGGGAGAATGGAAATAGTAATGAGAATGATAATGATAATGGTAATGAAATAAAAAAAATTGATTAATTTGTTTGGTTGTAATTTTAGGAATACTATGAAATGGAACATGAATATTTTCATATTGACAAAATTATCCTTATATTATATATAACATTAATATTTTATATATCAATATAATTAATATAATATAATAAAATTATTATTATATAATATATTATATAATTATGATATAGAATATAATAATATTATTAAAATAGTTAAATTATATTAGATTAAATAAATATATTATAATTAATATATTATATAACCATAACGTGTGTAATACACTATGATAGATAATAATATTATAATTATAAGATTATATTTAAATTTTGATTATATTAATTATTATATTATCATTAATAAATATAATATAATATATAAAATTATTATAATATTATTATAAAATAATAATTATATAATATATAATATTATTATAATCTTATTATAAAATAATAATTATAAGATATTATAATTATAATAGCATAATTATAATATCATATTATTAAAATCATTATAATATCATATTATATTATAAAATAATAATATTAGAATAAGTATATAATTATGATATTATTTGTTACAATATTACAATTATATTATATTATATCATATTATTTTATTGTGTTATTATGTTATATACAATTACATTATAATATATTATAATTTATAACTATATTATAATTATATTATATTATATCATAATATTTTTATTATATATTATATTATATTACATATTATAAGATATAACTACTATATAATATATTTTAATTATATTATAATATTAAAGGGTAATTATGGAAAAAATAAAGAAAATAACTTGGAATGGTTATTCCTCTCATATGAGGAAGGAATGATGATCCATCCAAAATGGATGAATGACCATTCCTTTTGAATGACTATTCATTTCTTATAAATCCAACTAAACATCAAACTTGAATTCCATTCCATTTTATTCCTTTCCTTTCTACCCAACCAAACACACCCTATAGGTAAAGACTAATATTATTTAATAAAAGGAACATAAGTATTCATGCCCTTTGAGTAGAAATATTTCTTTGCATTTACTGAAAAAGTTTTATGCGTATTTTTGAATATGCTAGACAATTAAGTCGTAGAATATTTATTGGATCAAGTAATTTAGCATAGTCACAATTTGAATAAGCCGTAATTCTAATTTTCTCAGGAGTTCTAAATTCGTGAAAAATGGTAATGGTATATAATGAGATTCACAGGTTGAGACATGTTTTCGTAAATTTTAGGGACTTCCAAGTTCCAGTTCATTTATAGTCCAAATATGGAATGTTATAACCGTCTAAAATTTTGCAACTCGTTTTGAAATCCAAATATAGAAGGCTATGACTATTTTGAACTGAGCTCTGTTTGCAGGATATGGAGTTTCCGTTTTGGGGCCACTTGTGAAAATCAATCACAACCTAAACCTAGGTAGTAAGTAATAAATCAATTTAAACTCCTTCAATACTTTAGAGTCCTACATATGCAAAAGTACTAACCTAAAGCTTAAAATGTGAATGTGTAGACGTACAACATTTAAGAAATTATATCGACTTAAAAAATTGCTTGACAAGATTCATCTACATGTTATTCAGATTTTTATCGACGTCAACGTAAATATGCTCAAGATTCATTCTCGTGAGTGCGGCATGTGTCCCAACTCAATATTAAAAATTCAGTATTTATAAAATTTCAATTATAACTTCACTTTATAAAAAAAAAAAAAATGTATACATATAATAGTATCAATATTCAACAATTAAAACTTATAATTATTCTCTAATTAGTAAATTATCACTAAGTTTTAATTTCAATATATTATCTCTAAGTTTTTTCATGACGCACTTATCAGAAAATTTTTCCGACAGCGTCGCTTAATCAGTAAATCGAATCATTCATACGAAAAATAAGCAAAGTTACTGCTTTTTAAAAAATGGATTATAAGAACATACTATCTTAATCGAATATGTTGCGTTTTTATCAAGAAGAAGAATCCAAAAGGTCAATGAGACCTTGATGTAGTTATATTCTTTATCAATTTTCACACCTCTGAAAATTTGTTTTTTTTAGAATATGTTTCGTCCCTTGTTATCATTGACACTAATCTTTTTTTTTTTTTTTTTTTCCCTGCGTTTCATAAGGAGAGCACGACTACTGCAGTCCAATTTTTTTTTACGAGGCAGGCAGTTTTGTGAAGTGTCTTTGGTATTTTACCCTAAAAGAAGGGACTACTAGATTGCTCAAAAAAAAAAAAAAAAAAAGGGACTACCAGATTGCTAAAAAAAAAAAAGGGACTACTAGAAAATAAAAACACTAAAAAAATGACATTTTATTTCTTTGAGGTAAAATTCCTTTGCCAATTATGGAATCACATATGTAAGGAACTTTCTAAAAAATAAAAAATATGGATGACTATTAATAGTTCATGTTTCTAAGCATCAAATAATAATCAAATCAAAATAATAAAAAAAAAAAAAATATATATATATATATATATATACACACACACACACAAAACTAATGAAGCAGATTTTACAGTTTAAAATTAAACGAAACCTGGTAAAATATGAAAAATATCTTAACAAAAAAAAAAGAAAAATTAATCGGTGATGATAATTTTTTGAAGGCGTACTTGACTCGACTCTCAATTTGTTCCTCCATTGTGTACAAATAAGTTACATCGTACCCTTCTCTCTCTCTCAAATCTAAACTGTGTATATGTAGAGAGAGAAAAAAAAATATATATATATACACACTCTCCGTCAAATTACCAATGCCCAAGTCTCTCACTTCTCTTGCCACATTGTCTTAAACCAGCACCAAAGCGCACATATATTTGCTTGGATTTTCCATCACTTACCCTTCTATCTCTCGAGAAAATAACCCAAAAAAAAAAAAAGAACTCATTTATATGTTTATTAATTTTCTCTTTGCATGTTTCAAATATTCAACACATAGCCATTTATAAGCAAAGCACTGCAACTAACAGTTTTCCCTTGGCGAACTACTCTTTTTGCATGTCGTGACTGAGTGAGCCACTTCTTCTTTCATCATTCTTCTTTCATGATCTTTATGTCTATGCGTTTTCTTTTGTTTTGTCTTATTTATTTTATTAAATGGGTATTTTTTTTTCCCTGTGAATTCGGACTTGAGTTTTGTTTGACTCTCTCGGCGGTTTTTGAAGCTTTTGGCTTTCTGGGTTTTGATTCAATTGGGTCGTTTCACGCTTATGGCTCCTGTAAGAGGGTCCAAAAAGAGGAAGAAGACTGAGAAGAAGCCTGAAGAGAATGCTTATGCTTCTGGGTCCTCCGAGAAGGACGGTCCTCTAGATTGGTGGGATGAATTAGTCAGGAGAATTAATGGTATATTTTCTTTGATGTTAATATTGTTTTTACTCATTATTGTTACTATAATTTTTGTTAATATTGTTAAATTCATTATTGTTTTTACTCATTATTGTTAATATTGTTATAATTTTTTTTCTTTTGCTTGTTATTATTTCTCTGATGTGTTTATTATTATTATTATTATTATTATTATTATTTTGTTGTTTATCTGATATATGCTTGATTAATGTGTCTGGTGTTGAACTGTCATATTCTGATAGGTTTGTTAGTTCTTTTCTGGTATTTGATGAAATTTTAGTTGATGGGTTAAATTCAGTTTTGTCTAAATCTATTTGCTTGTATGCTTTTATTTTCTCATTCAAGTCAATAGTTGGTACATTACAAATGAATTTGGGTAATATATATAAGAAGTGTTAGGAAAACAAACCCCTGAGTGGTAGCAGAAAAGAAAATAAACTGAAACAAAAATAATAGCAAACTAGAGAAGACAAAGATTTAGGTGGTTCGGGAAATTTCTTACGTCACGGAAGACGGGGAAAAATTTACTAACAGTTTCAGTATCACACACTTATACAACTTTTTTATTTTCTCTCTCTACCCAAAACCCTTTACACCCTTACCTATCTCTCTCACTCTCTACCCAAAATCCTTACACCCTTGCCTATCTCTCTCACTCTTCTCTCTCTCTCAAAAATGAGGCACTCTTTCTTTGTACTTTTCTTTGAACACACTTTTTTTTTAACACACATAAAGCCTTACATAAAGTACTTATTTATAGACTCTTAATAATCCTTGCCCAAAAATATAAAACAAAAACTTACTCAAAAAACGCAAAATATTAACTTTCTCATAATCAATTTGAGTCACTTACCTAACAAGGCTTTCTTGATAGTGGACAATGCTATGGCTTCTAATGTCTTTTATGCTTTGCAAGAGAAACTACAATCCTTTTGATATTTCTTACCAAAATGAGAACATTTTTTTCTCTCTCATTATTTAATAAATGTGGGATTTTGTTGGGTGTTTTAAGAAATTCTGAAATCTTAACATGGATAAAACGAATCATATGGATGCTTATATGCTTGATATCTTCCAATTAAGCTCCTTCTGTGGAATACAAGATCTTGATGATTCGGCCTTTTAGTGCTCGGATCTCATAGTTGACTCTAGGTTTTGAGCATTACCATAAGTGAAAATTACAACTCCTCTGCCACTGAAATGTGAAACTCATCTGAAAGAGATTTAGTTATAGTGACTGCAGTTTGGACGTTCAAACTCAGGAAATTGATTAGTTTGTGTAGTGTTAGAAAGCTTTTGTTGGATTCATAGGCCTTTTCCCTCCCAAAACAATTCTGGTACTTCTTTATTGGCCTGGTTTTCAGTAGCCTGCCTATGATGACAGTCGACTTTTTCGGATGAAAAATGACATGGGTGGAGCTAATAGTTTTGACTTGAGGCTTTGAGCGTGAGGATGTTTCTGTGAGAGAAATGTGTATTAGTATACAAACATCTTTGTACTATAGTTTATCAAAAAAGGTATGTCAAGTTGATCTTAGCTTTGAAGTATAAGTTAAACTTCAACCAAACATGCGTCTAGGATGAATGTTTGAAATAATTGATTTCGTGTGACCAAGAACCTTTTTATAATTTGCCACCCTTGGGATTTGTTGAAAGAGACTTAGAAATGGATCATTAACTTTTACTGTGATTAACTGGTGCTCTTAACTCTACAACAAGGATGATGTCTCATAACCCTTTTCTTTTGGCTTCTTGTTCATTTTTAGGGGGTTAAAGTCCAGTCTCTTCTATTTTCCGTTTCCCTGCATGTTTTCAAGTGCATAGATTAAAGAAAAGGGACATGGATACCTACAGAAGTATTGATGAAAGCTTGGTTAAATCTCATGTTTATAAACTTTGAAATGTTTTACAGACTATGGTAGGTTGGACTAGACAAGGTTTTATCTAGGACATACTGAAAAGTTAGGTAACAGAAACGATGTTATTAGTTTGTTTCACCAGTGCTTTGATATATTACAAATTAAATGTGTGGAAACGAGAAAATATTTATAGTTATTTGCAAGTGGTTTATTTCAGATCAAGTAAATAAAAAAATTAAAAAGACCAAAATGAGATAATACTTTGGTGTCTGCATAGTGAGAGGGTGCTTCTGTTCTCTGTTTGATGGAAACCAACTTGAATGTAGTAAGAGTGATGCAATCATAGATTATTGGAGTCCTTGTTACACGACCAGAAAAATTGAAGGCCCATTTTGGTTTGATCCTCATTTTACAACTGTTAAGTACTTTATATTTCTTGTATCTGATGGACTTGTTGATAAGAACTTACATTAACCGATTAGTTTTAAATAAATATTCTTAACAAGAATGGTAGAAGGTGCGAGACAAAGCAAAACAAAAGAGTCCGAAGTCTCTTATCATTGGTTCATTGGCCCAAAATAGGTGTCTTGAGTAAAGTTGATTCCAATCATAATGTGCATTTCTGGTATATGTAAAAGTAATGCAACTCTGTGTGGATCAACTTGTGCAAAAGAGAGCACATTTAGGATCTTTTAGTATTTAGATTATTTCTGATACCTAAAATGAAATAAGAGAAGATCATCTTAGGGAAAGACTCTTCTTTTCCTATGTTATTCAGCATTTAAGTGGGTTGTCTCTTGCTCACTGAGCAAGCACTAGCCACCAGTCCTGTAATCTTCTAACTGCATATGTGTATGGATTTGGCGTCAAGGGTTTATGTTCTTATGTAGTTAGACAATCATACGCAGTAAGTTCTGTTTCACAATATTTTCCGTCACTTGGATTTATCTGCAACACTTGGTGCACATAGATTAATGTATAATATGATTATGGTTGCCTTATTGTGTCCTGTTTTTACATCAGCTTTCCATATGCTTCGTATATCTCTGATGTTAATTGACAAAAACTGATGGTTTTAGCAAATTAGTACATATACCTATTTAATTGACATGAAAAGTGTTGATTCTATTATTTGTTGCAACATCCGACAAAGAAGCATTGAAGTCAAATAAAAGAACTCTAGTTTGGAGTTGTAAATATTGTTTTCCTTCTGCCTTCATGGCAGGTCTTCAGTCTCCATCAAAACGTTTAGACAAGTTTGAATCTGTTTTTAAGATGTCCCGGAAAACCTTTGACTACATATGTTCACTTGTAAAGGAAGACATGATGGTGAAGTCAGCTCATTTTGTGTTTGCGAATGGCAAGCCTATGTCTTTATGCGATCAAGTTGCTGTTGCATTAAGAAGGCTGAGCTCCGGTGATTCACTTGTCACAATTGGCGATTTGTTTGGGCTGAACCACTCAACCGTCTCCCAAGTGACGTGGCGATTTGTGGAATCCATGGAAGAAAGGGGGCTTCACCACTTACATTGGCCTTCCACAGAAGCGGAAATGACAGAAATCAAGTCCAAATTTGAGAAAATCCGGGGCTTCCCTAATTGTTGTGGGGTCATTGATACCACCCACATTGTGATGTGCTTGCCTGCTTCAGACCCCACAGGCGATGTGTGGCTTGATCATGAGAAGAATCACAGCATGGTCTTGCAAGCTGTCGTGGATGCCGACATGAGGTTCCGGGACATAGTCACTGGATGGCCAGGAAAAATGAAGGATTGGTTGGTTTTTGAGAGCTCAAATCTCTACAAACTTTGTGACAAAGGAGAGAGGTTGAATGGAAAGAAGGTAGAGATTTCCAAAGGATCAGAAATAAGGGAGTACATAGTTGGTGATTCTGCCTATCCTTTACTTCCCTATCTTGTGATCCCCTATGAAGGAAAAGAACTTTTGGAATCAAAGGCCGACTTCAATAAGCGTCATTCTGCAACGAGGATGGTCGCTCAACGCGCATTAGCTAGGCTGAAGGACATGTGGAGGATCATTCAAGGAGTAATGTGGAGACCTGACAAACACAGATTACCAAGAATCATTCTTGTATGCTGCTTGCTTCACAACATTATCATAGATATGGAAGATGAGGCGCAGGATGAGATGCCATTGTCTCACAACCATGACTCGAATTATCACCAAGAAGTCTGCGGAACCACAGACAACGAAGGTACGAACTTGAGAGAAAAGCTCTCTCTTTACTTGTCTGGAAGGATGCCACCTTAACTGCGTTCCATTTCTAATTGTTCAAATAGTTGTTTAAAGATTGTTTGTCTTTTAATCTACATAATTAATTTTCCCCGAGACAGACTCCCTTGAAATGAAAGTTATATTACAGGATCTTTTGTTTTAGACAAAAGTTTGATCAGGACCTCATATTAGTTATTCCATGTATTTGTTTTAGTAGAAATCATTGCTATTTTTCGATCTTCATCTGTTAAATTATCATGTTTATCTTAATCTAATACGATTAAAATGCATTCTACTAGTAAAGTAATAGCATAGAATTCTTGATACTTTTGCTAAACTTCATCGGCAGTGCCTCTACTCTTATTTGTTGATGTCCCAGTGTCCAAATTTTCAAGCCCACGTGAAAAGCACGCAACTTTACAAATTTTATTTGTGAGCTTCTCTGGTGGATCAAGAAAAAAAAATTACCGGTAATTTTATGTTTTTGTCGTTAGATCTGAATTAAAAACTGTCTTTTCTGTATACTTTTTTAATCTAATGTGATTTTGACCAGACCTAATGGTCAGAAATAAACCCTGCTGATAGAGAGGCTCTACCAGAAAAAAATCTTAAATTTATACATTGAATTACACCACACTATTCAAATTTCAATTCTTGCGCGAATCACATCTTTATATTAATAGGTGTTTAAAACATTATTACGTCAATTAATAATAAGAGATTATATCTAATAATAAAAAATAGTAATTCATATGTCACATCAATTAATACACTAAAATTTTAAAATTTAAATTTGAGTTGATGTTCATAATATTACTCATTTAGCCCTCGACAGAAGCAAGGAATCCGAAGTTTGTAAATGTGAGTATTTAGAATTCTTTCATTGGCTTAAAAAGAATGCCTCAGGTAGCGCGCATTTACTGCTGTCATAGATTAACGTTGATTTTTATTATAGTTTTTTTGTGTGGTAAAAATCACATTAACTTTGAATTTATCTCCTATTAGATTATTCTGCTGTGATCTAATACTTAAAATGCATGCTAAGATAAATATTCTACTCAAAAGTTTCCCTATTACATCTACGGTGCAGCCTTTTATTTTATTTTTTATTTTTTCATTTTTAATGTTGCTTACTGCATCATGAGATGGACTATGATGGACCATGCTGGCAATGGGCTGATAATCTGCGACTGTTGGGTAAACGAATGGCATGATGGGCCAGCCCAGGGCTCAATCCTGTAAAATTATGCTCCTATCCGTAGATTACTATACAGTGTTTGTTATTATTTTTATTTTTTTTTATCAAAGCATAATGATCATGATCATAAAGTTTCAAATCATTATTACAATAATATTTATCATTTTATTTTATTATTATAAAGTTGCAATATTTATACTCCCACTCGTAGATTATTATATATATCAATTTTCATCAATAATGATAATAAAAAATATAGTTTTGATTATGTAAGGATAAAAATATGGTCTACTTTAGATATTATTCTAAATAAAAAAAATTATAGACATATTTAGAAACAAAAACTATATTTAGATATTACTGTAAATAGCCTTTCAAAAGTTACTCTTTTTTCTCTGTTTTTTTTTTTTTTTTTTTTTTTTTTGGGTGCATGTGTAGAATTTACGGATCTAAGGTACTAGTCCCAAGTGATGGTAAATTTTTATGCCTTCTAAACACGAGGAAAAAAAAAAAAAAAAAAAACTGTCGACAGATTGAGCATTACGGGTAATTTCAAGTCATTACACATTAGACGTCATGATATGATATAGCAATGTAACTATTTTGTACGAAGCTATTGACAAGTAGAAACCTTTCCATAAGAGGATCAATCTTCCCATACCAATATTATGCAACGAACTGTTCCTTCTTCTTCTTTTTTTTTTTTTTTTTTTTTTTTTTTTTTTTTTTTTTTTTGCGTGTGTGCGCATTCAGTCCTCAGTAATGGAGTTGACAAAATGATGCTACAATAATAATAATAAAAAATAATAGAAAAAAGAACGAACGTGTAGAAAGATCCAATAATAAATCTGTACATGAGATGAATTACCCTCTCCTCAGAAGGATCATAATGAAATACTGGTCAACTTTTCTGCGTGCTGAGATTGGACTGATTTCAAATATGCATATATGCAAAAGTACCAACTCTTCTAGATATATTCCCCGGTGCAAATGCGTTTAACTTCTATCATATTTACATGTACCCATGAAAACTACTTGCACCGCAATATTCTAGAATCTGCTAAAGCTGTAAGTTGGCTAGGGGCTGAAACAATAAAAGCCACGGAAAAATTTGACAAAACAGTCATACCTCAAAGACCTGGTTTATAAGAGCTAATTATCATTGAGGGATGATATAAAGGTTTCAGACCACTTTTGCTTTACAGATTCCAGGACCATAGATTCGCCGATGAAGGGAGTCCACATATCTCCCCCAGGACCAGCAAGAACCCAATTCATAGTTGATGGCGGGAAGGCAGAATCATCCATTGCGGCTTCAGCTTTCTCCCCAGAATTGCTTTTCTGCGGAGTATCAGAATGCTCCGAGGACTGGAAAAGACGCGAGAATGAATATTGTAAAAAAGGACAGAACAAATGTCAACATAATGAACTGCAGAACTTAATGAGCTTACTGTAGGATCACTGCCTGGTGTGACTTCCTTTGGCGGAGTTGCATTTTCTTCAGATTCTTTTGGGCCTCCAGTGGCAACTTTTGGGGAATGATTCTTTCCATAGACATTTTTACTCTTAGAACCAGATCCGCGCGAACGCTGAAATTGAAACACAACTGTATCGGTCAGGGATCGAAAGGGAATCAAACGAGTATTGTTTATTTGTTTCTAAAATCGAACCTACGTGATGCCTATTGGGATGTTTGAATGCCTTGAGTGGCATTGTGCACTCCTTTTCTTCTTTTTCTCTTAGGTATCTCTCAACAGCTATCAAGGAGCGGAATTGCTGTCCAGTCTCTTGCTCAACATAGTACTGCAAATAAAAGTGAAACCGTAAAATTCTCCAGTTCCTAGATGGAGTAATATCTTTATTTATTAATAAAAAAATCAAAAGGAAAAACAGAATTCTCATGTCTTCGCATTCAACAATAGGTATAGTTTCTCTATACGCATAACGCATGTATGCATCCATCTATCTATTTACGTGCAAAGAGCATACCAGTACACGCACTAAGAAAATTCGTTACAGGTGCAAAATTTTACCTAGCTCCAACAAATAAAAAAAGGGCAATTGCTGAACCTTCAGCAAGTACAGAACATGATAAAGCCAGAGTAGTGAGCGACAAGGAACAAGAGTAGCATCTAAAATCTTGCATAGAAACATACCTTGTCAACCGCAAAATCACGGCGACGTTTCCTTCTCTCAATGATCCAACCATCAGGTAGTATAAAGTTTGATGTCGTGCCAGGGGTACAAGGAGTAATTTGCATCTGCAGTAGTATTGGCACTGTCAATGAGAATTTCCCCCCTATAACTATTATCATAATGACTCGGAAACATTCTTCTGCAATTTGAATTTCCAATGATCTGAAACTCAATAAAATTCATTAAAAGATTCTTTCCCACAAGATCCTATAGCTTACCAGATGAAGATACTAAATTTTAAACCATCAAAATTAGAACCCTTCAACCCATACATGTTAATCCCATCAATTGACTTCAACAGCTTAAAATTAAATGCATAAACGCGTTAATGAATGATACACAGAGTAGCACCTGTATGCAGTGAGTTATCTTTCAAACCATGGGTACCGCGTAAGAAGAAATACTCATGCAACTTTTTGCTTGGTGTATCTATCATCATTTAACCGATTGCAATTTGATGCACTTTGTTATACACTAGATCATCATTTAACCGATTGCAATTTGATGCACTTGGTTATACACTAGATGAGTCTTTTTTTTGGGTCTCGAGTTATGCTGTTCAGGTTCATTGTAAAATCCTCCAGTCCTTCCCAACCTTACAATTGCACAATCATGGAATGCATCTGTGGGAAATTTTGGAGGCTACTAGAGGATGCAAACTTGATGTTGATGGGATGAGCAGGTTCTGAAGCCTTTTTCCTTTTTATTTTGAAGATTTTCTTTTTCATCAAGACAATCTCTAAGGCCTTCGCCTCAGAAAAACACAAACCAAATTGAATTTAAGGCCTTTTAGCGGTTGCATTCATTTTTTATCATTTAATCGTAGAATAAGATAAAACCTGTTCCACACTTGCAGCACGTTTGTCTCTTCCTTGTTTTAATGATGTGGGCGTGGATGTATTTGTGCTTCCATTGGTTAGGTGTCTCTTAACAGCCATCACCGAACAAAATTTCTTTCCCGTCCCAGGTTCAATGTAATACTGCAACATATTTCAATAAGAACATAACTGATCCATTAACTCTATAAGACCAAATCGAACAAAATAACAACCTTATGCCCATATTATATGTTCCACAATGACTACTGTTCATATCAATGATTAATTGTATAGGAAGACTAGAGTTCCTTTTTTTTTCTCCTTTTCCTTTAAGTATCTTTAGACCAATAAATACAAGTGAACAGATAAAATTTAGTTTCTCATGAAGCAATATGCTTATTAATGGAAGAACCTAAGGAAGCATTGAAATGTCGATGAACAATATTATCTCTTCATATGTACATGCATCCGTTTACTTATGACTGTGGGAAGAGCATACCAGTACATACACCAGATAAATATGTGAGAAACATAAAACTCTATCACACTCAAAAAAATGCACTTGCCACATCGGCAAGTACAGAACTTGACAAACCTTGTGCAACATAGAACAAGAGTAGCAGAGCAAAAAAATTGAGAATAGAAAAATACCTTGTCAATCTTACCAGGATTACTTCCTCCATCTCGTCGCTTTTGCTCAATCCTCCAACCATTAGGTAGTACAAAGTCTGAGGTGCACCCGGTGGTAAAGGGAATAATTTGCATCTGCAGTAGTATTGGAATTGTCAATGAGGATCTTTCTCTCTATACCTAATCATTATAACTTGAAAATCTCTTTCTGATGTGTATTGGATTGCCAATGCATTAATCTCAAAAACTTCTTACGTCCATAATAACCTTCCCCCCGTTATCCTATCATAAGTGCTTATACATCCAGAGAGGCTTAAAAAATCAAGAATATGCTAATTTTAAACAATCAAGAGCGTGTGTGTCAATTTCAACAATTGACTTCAACAGTGAGGATCAAATGCATAACCATCCAGTCCTTCCTCTCTCACAAGCACCTAGTATGTACCATCAAGTGAATGCATTATAGGCAATTAGGCACTTATTGAAGGATACTAAAGGGTGCAGAATTGATAGGGCATATGAGAAAGATTTGCAGCTTCTTTTCTTCTCTCAATAATTTCTTTTCCATCATGACAATCTTTTAGGCCTTTGGTGTTATGCAATCCTGTCCAGATTTTAATGCAAAAACTCCACATCAACCTTCTGTTGATGAGATCTAACCTCCTGTTGTTCCTCAGTAGCTCAGTAGCAGAGCAGATCCATGCATATTGCATTTTATAGACTAATTTGTATGGGGGAACTTTTCAGAGGCACAAAGATAAGAAGGCACAAAATCCATTTTAACAATTACCTTTTTTTTTAATTGACATTAGAAGTCAAAGAAAACCAGATTAGACCATAGGATAAATGAAACCCATGGTGATCTTCCTCGAAGTAAAGATAAACCATATCCAATTAAATCCTTTAGCGACTGCATTCCTATTATATAATTTAAAAGTAGAGCAATGTACTTCCAGTTCCAGACTTACATCAGATTTGTCGCTTGCTTCTTTTGATACCTCGGGTACGGACATATTTGTTTCTCCGTCTGTTAGGTATCTCTTAACAGCTGCCATCGAACGGAATTTCTTCCCGGTCTTGGATTCAATATAATACTGCAAGATACTTTACTATGATAAAGGTGCTTAAAAAGCAATATAAGATACCATGCAAGAACTTCCAACAATGTAACCATAACACAAGTCCCACAACGACTACTGATCAAATCAAGATTAAAATTATAGCAAGACGAGTTGCTAATTATTTTCAGGAAGTAGCACATCTAAAGTTCTAAACTGCACCATCTATTTTAAAAAGTGACAAATGCTGCATAGATCACATGATTGCATCACAAAGAACTGAATTGTCAGCTTTCACCAATGGTATGATCTCTATAAATGCATGCATCCGTCTATCACAGAATGTGCAAAGAGCATACCAGTAGTACACCAAGAAAAATATGAGAGAGGCGTAAATATCACCTCGCTCGAGAAATGCAATGCCATTGGCAAGTACAAAACATGATCAACTGTGTATCAAAGAACAAGATAGCAGAGCTAAAATTTTGAAAACAGAAAAATACCTTGTCAACCATACCACGATACATCCCACTGCTTCGTGGCTTTTCCTCGATCCTCCAACCATCAGGTAGTACAAAGTCTGAGGTGCTCCAGGTGATAAGGGGAGTAATTTGCATCTGCAGTAGTATTGCAATTGTCAATGGGGATCCTTCTCATTATACCTAATCCTTATAACATTGAAAACCTTTTCTTCTGCAAACTAAATTACCAATGCATTGATCTCAGAACTTTTTGAGTCCATTCTAAACTCTTTCCCCCTGTTATCCTATCATGGGGGCTTATACAAACAGAAAGGCCTATAATAATATATGCAAATTTTCAACAATCTAGGTTAGGACCCATCAAGCCGCGCATTTTAATTTTAGCAATTGAGATGAAACGTGTAATCCCCCAGTCTTTCCTACCCTCACAAGCACCTAGTATGCACCATCAGGTGAAAGAATTATGGGAAATTTGGCGCTTATTGAAGGACACTAAAAGGGTCCAAAATTAATGGGATGTATGAACAAGTTTTGCAGCTTCTTTTCTTTTCCACCACAAATATCCCTTAGGCCTATGGTTACATGCAGACCAGATGTTAATGCAAAATACTCCAAATATAATAAGAAGTGTTTTAATGAAACAAGCTTTAAAAAACAAAAACAAAAAAGCAACAGCAGATCCATACAGATTGCATTTTATAGACTAATTTGTGCAAGAGAATTTTTAAGAGACACAAAGATAAGAAGGCACATGCCTCCTTTTTAACAATCTCTTTTATTTCACTGAAATTAGAATTCATAAGACAACCGGATTAGACCATGGTATAGACAAAGCCAATGTGATCTACCTGTAACAGATAAACCAAATCGAATCACTCCTTTCAGTGACTGCATTCCTATTTAATAATTTAAATATAGAACAATGTACTTCCAGTTCCATGCTTACATCAGATTTGTTCCCTGCTTCATTTGATACCTCAGACGTGAACGCATCTGTATTTCCATCCATTAGGTACCTCTTAACTTCTGGCACCGAACGAAATTTCTTCCCTGTCTTGGGTTCAATGTAATACTGCAACATATGTTAGTACAACATATCATATAACTCTGTAAGATACGATAAAAGAACTCACAACACTATAACAATCACACAAGCACCACAATGACTGATGTTCGAATAAAATATTAAACGCGTAGTAAGACAAGAGCTGCCTTTTATTTTAAAACATGAAAATGACTGCATATATTATATCATTGCATCATATAGAACATTTCGTAGCCATTTAGTTTCATGATGATTTTCCAAGACTGAAACCACCATCATCGCTCAAGCATTTCCCGACAAGATGGGGATAGATCATTGTCTTCGAAAATGCATAATTGGTCGGAAGCTATGCAAGATGCTAACAACCCATTGGTTCGTACTATACATAAAATCACTTCAAGGTATAAGCAAGTTGTTAAACTTTCAATGGTAGCCCTTATGATCATCTTCTATTTCTATCATCTACGAGCAAAGTATCTTACTCCGCATTCAACCAAACCAATGAAGCAGAATAAAAAAATAAAAAAAAAGTAAGCTATAAATAGTTTCTTTTCATGCTATGATTTCTGGAATAAATCAAGGCCCAAATTGTTCAGAAAAAAGGGTAATCTTGATAAATACTCTTTGAAAGTGCATGAGTCAAGATTTTTATCATTTACTCTTAATTAATAATTTTTTTAGTCAAATAATTACAAGGATATTTATTAAGAGTAAAGGGTAAAACTCCAGACCTATATAAATTCTCCATTTTAAAAAAAAAAACAATCATGGCCCAAATTAGTTGAATTAGCTCCAAATAATAGCTCAAAACTCCGGGTTTTTCTTTGTCCTCATCTTTTCTCTAAAAAGATAATACTAAAATAAATCATCAATCCACAGTCACCAATTCAAAGTTTTTCCCTCCGATGAACAAAAAATGACTCTATGCAGAAATCTGAGGAAGTTTTAAACTAAAAAAAGAAATGTCAACCTAATAAAGCACGCCATTAATTAAACTATGATGCTTAACCCTGCCTGAGTACACAGAAACGAACACAAATGCAATCATGCAATTTTTTTTAATTTAATCCTAATACATCAACCCATGCATGCTAATCAAGAAACAAACTAACCAATACCACTGATACCCTGCCTGAGTACACAGAAACGAACACAAATGCAATCATGCAATTTTTTTTAATTTAATCCTAATACATCAACCCATGCATGCTAATCAAGAAACAAACTAACCAATACCACTGATAAAAAAAAAAAAAAAAAAAAAAAAAAAAAAAAAAAAAAAAACTTTAAAAGATTTGTTTTTTTTTTTCTAGAGAGAGACAGAGAGTACCCTGTCGACTCTGCGTGGGTTGGAAGGGCAACATGCGCGAGGTATTTCCTCAACTAACCAATCATCAGGCACTTTGAAACCTGCTGGCGTGGAGGTGGAGCCCACCTTGTGATGATCCGACGATTCGTCGTCTTTGCGTGGCGTTACCATTTGCAGCGGAACCGCCTTCAACGGTGGTGATTTGCCCTTCATTGTCCTCGGATTTGGCCTCACCGTCACTCTCCTACCAGTCTACCACACCATATAACCAATGTATCTTTATAATTATTCGCTTCGATTTTCGTTTAAATTATTCGCATTGTTCGAGAATTCTTCAGGTCTGATTCAATTCGGAAAGGTTTCTGTGAATTGAGGAATGTTAAATTTCTCATTCTAATCTTCAGCACCGGAGATTACGCAGAGCAGAGCTATAGCGCGCCACATATCACGTCACTTCCACCCAAATTGCAACAGACAACGCAACAGTAAAAAGGGACTATTATTGGGTTCCTTACTACTTCCAAAGCCCCGTTGAAATTTTTTGAGGCCCATGTTTTATGCAGGACATAAGCCTGGCCCATTATATGAATTCGATCTATAGAGTCTAGAAATGTGTGTAAAAGTAAAACCAATCAATATGAATATCGAGAGTGGATGGTTGACCGCCGCCCCCTTGTTCCTGGAGGCTCTTTGGCCTGGGAGGAGTTTGCTATCGTAACCTTTTCTCCCGGTGTATGTAAAAAAGAGTGACGAACCCATTTTTGTTTGGTCATAGGTTGATCCAAAGAACGAGAGTTACCAAGTAAGCTAGGCAACTATCTTTACCCCTCAACCGATCTTACCTCAGACATGCCAACATTCAATACTTACTCATTGTCCTGAGACAGCTAATCAAAATGAATACGGCTTGAATCCGGAGATGTTTGGTTCATAAATTAAAATTATGTAATTAGAATTATTTTTTATTTACGTATATTTTTTATGAGAGAAAATACTATAATAAATTATGAATCATGATTTAAATCATTATTTGAATCCTACAATTAAACATCCCTTATCTTTGAGACTACCCTTAGGACTCTATAATCATTAATTTATCAGTGTGTGACTGCTCAAAACAATGAACTTTTTTGCTGGCCAAAAAAAAAAAAGTTCTTTGTTTTTTTTTTAGCCAGTAAAAAGGTTCATTGTTTTGAGTAGTCAATTATTAGTATAATAAAACTCAATTTTTGAAGGGTAATTAAATATACAGTGGTAATTTTACTCTTACAAAACTAAGAGAAATTGTATATGAAATACATTAACAGTACACTGTAATTAGTGTATTACAAAAGTTAAGAACAAAAAGATACAGGAAGTGGGTAACTGTACGCAAGTAGTGTCTATCTAGCCATTTTACATTACATCGTTCTTTTTTTTTTTTTTTTTTTTTTTTTTTTTTTTTTGTTGAGAATGAGGGTAATAGACAAGTTAAGATAGCAATAAAAATTAATACGCCATGATTATAAATAGGTCAGTTAAAGAGTAAATACATATTTACACTCAATTAAAATTACAAAATAATCCCTGTACAAAAAATTGCAAAAGAACCCCATTAATTCCTCTCTTCTATCGCGCGCTCTCTTTCTTACTCTCAGACTCTCTCTCCTCAATCTCTTTCTCTCTCTCTCACACACACACACACTCTCTCTCGTGGATCCGCTCCACGGATCTCCTTTGCAAGCTTGCCACCATGAACATTTGAACATTGGTTTCACGAAGATCTACAACCATCAGCTTTGGGAGGAGCTTTCCGTCGCGATGAATTTCTCGTCATTTGTCGATGATCGGAGACGCTGCCGTCGTCTTCCTTCGCAGCTCCGGCAACAGCCTATAGAAGCAACATCTCACAGCTCCGACGATGGTTTTTCATCGGCCCGGTGACGGTGACGAATTCGTGAGCAACAACGTTCTCTGTCAGAGAGAGTGAGAGACGACGGAGCTTAACTAGATTCGCAATGGAGGAAGCCGACTGTCGATCAGATGGAGCTCGAGTGATGACCATTGACGGCGACGGCGGTAGCTAGAAGCTCCGACAATGGCAATTGGGCCGCTGGATTTGAAAAAATAAGATAAACAGGAAAAATAAAAATCTTACAATGAAGGATAAAATGGGAAAACAAAATAGTTAAGGCCTATTAATTTTCAATGTTGACCTATTTACTACTAATGGTTTTAAATGTCGGCCTATTTATTCTAATTTCTCTTTCTTCTTTTTTTTTTTTTTTTTTTTTTTGTATTTTTTTTTTTTTTTTTTTTTTTTTTTTTTTTTTTTTGGGTATTATCGATTGTGTTGGTAACTACTGATTTAAATTAAACATGTTGAATTTAACTAGCAATATTGCATAGACCCTATGTCATAATCGGTGAGAAATACAACATGTTTAATGCAGTGTCAATGGGGCCCTATTTCATAACCAACGAGTATCATTTTTTAATGCAATGTCAATGTGACCCTATGCCAATGAGTATTAGAGCATGTTTCATGCAGTGTCAATGCTAAATTTTGGTATCAATATAATGTTATTTTTTGGACTATTCGTTCATATGTTAAGTTTTTTTTAATATTAAGGATTTACATCTTTATTAAAATTAGGTGGATGACTGATTTTGATCACTTTTTTCATTAATTGCCGCACTTTTTTAGTTAAATGTCCATTTTTTCGTTTTGGGTTTTACAATAGTCAATAACTGATGTGCCCAAGTTAATCATTAATTTACTAATGATTTATCAATCTCTTTTTTAAAGTTGTTTAAAAATTAAAAGTTTGTTTTTTAAGTTTAAAGCTTAATAGTTATGAATAAAAAGTAGTTAACATTTGAACTATTATGCACTGAACCACAAAATTAAATAAGACGTCATTTTTACCCTATACTTTTCTCAAATATATAAATGTTAATGACATTTATATTGAAGATGATTTCGTAAACGTCCCCTATTATGGATTGAATGAATGATTGAGTAAAAAAAAAGTTGTTAATTAAGAAATTTCCTCCAACCAAATATATTGATTATTAAGTTAGGATAACTAGCTAGTAGTCTGATTAGCTAAAGAAAAAATAAAAATAAAAAAGTAGCTAGTACAGTAACAATTTATTTAATATAAAAAAATCATTCAATCGAGTGCAAAGGAGGAAATTTGTTTGTATTTCCAAATTTCTTCTCGTGTGGGCACTAGTACAGTAGTAACCTCACACAAACAAAACATTTTTTTTTTAAATAGCTTCATTTGTCCTAATTCATTCGTTTATACACGTACTTTACACAAAAGCATCAAAAGTACAACTTATTGTCGAATTTGCATTGATGAGAAGGCTCGTTAACATTCAAAAGTAATGTCTCTTTCGTTTTGTTGATTCGAGTTTAAAATTTGAATTGAGATGTAATTTTATGTGAGAACTTTTTACTGTAACAAAAAAGTTAGATGTGACTGTTTGTGAGAACTTTTTACTGTAGCAAAATTTGAATTCTAAACTCGAATCAACGAAACCACATAATTCTCTTTTGAGATTTAATTGTGAAAAAAGCCTCAGCAAGTTTACAATTTTTTTATATAAAAAATACACATAAATTAAAAATAATTCTAAATCATACTTCTAAATTTATAAACTAAACGTCTAAATATCAGATTCAAATTCCTAGCGCCACCAATAATATTTAAAAAAAGGGAAAAAGAACAACAACAAAAAAAGCACATGACTCTTGATAAAGTTGGATTAAAAAAGATGCGCTCGAGTGCTGATTGGCTCAAGTTAATTTGGCCGTCAAACAAAGACTTTCGTTGAAGAATTTCCACGAACTTGCCTGTTGGCCATACTACAAAGATTTCTGATTTAGATTTTCTACAAAGTACCAATGAAATAGTAATATTATGGAATCCGAATATATAGAAAATAAGCAAGAGTATAGTGTACTATGAACCTAAAGGTATTTAAGACCCATTTAATTTACTGATTTGAGTTTTTAATTCAAATTGAGATGTGACTTTATGTGAGAATTTTTTACTGTAATAAAAAAATTAAATGTGACTGTTTCTGAGAGTTTTTTACTGTAATAAAACTCAAATTCTAAACTCAAATCTGTAAAATAAACGGAGCCTTACTAATGCGTTTGGAGTGAGGATCTATGTCATGATTCGGATCATGACTCGTGACTCGCTACAGTGTTTTCTCTCATAAAAAATACACGTAAATTGAGAATGATTCTGAATCCATAAATCAAATGTCCTCGTGATAGGAAATGACCAAAATCATCAAATAGGTGCATAACTTGAACTAAAATTTTGGTTGGATTATCCAAAGGGGTACGGATTTAAAAAATAGGTAAATGAACTTGTCATTATATATCAGCCACGTATTTGTAATAAATACCATGCATGTAAGGCAGAAATAATACAAGAGCCTTCTTTCTGAAAAAAAAAAAAAGAGGAAAGAAAAATGGAAAAGTCTCAGAACCATGCAATATCCCGTGTTTAGATTAGTATCTCTAAAAAGAAGAAAGGAAGGCGCTTAAAAGAATCTAAAAATCAACACGAAAAGAGAGAGAGGGACACCTCAAACTTAGCAGAGCAAGCGGGTCTCTCTCTCTCTCTCTCTCTTTTTGGAGTAGTGAGAATGTATCAAAAGATACAATGTTTTCTTTTATTCATGGTAGAAAGAAATCCAACCAAGTATAAATCATGTGATGTAAGAAAAACAACACGAGATTTATTTAACTGCCTTGAAAAAAAATTAAAAAAGACATAAAAATTCTAAGATCATAAGATTATTGAAGATATTATTTCGGACCTATAAAATATAAAAATATAAGAGAAGGTGTAAAGATATTAATACTGAAATGGTCCAATACCAAGGACACATGTTGATTGGTGTGATATATATACTCAAGTAAAAAAGAATACTTTATAAGATGCGATGTTCTTATTTTAGTATACAATATATTTTTTATATTTTTATTTATAATTATACTTTTATTAAATGCAAGTCTTGTGTTAAAATATAATTATTTTTTATACTGTTTTTCTTCTTTTTATTAAAAAACGATTCTTATAGCTATATATAATTTATGGTATTAATTGCTCATACATAATATAGAACTATTCTTTCCTTTTATAAATACTGTTTTTCTTCTTTTTATTAAAAAACGATTCTTATAGCTATATATACATAATTTATGGTATTAATTGCTCATACTATATTATGGAACTATTCTTTCCTTTTGAGAGTTATAAAGTAGTGTCAGTTTTTTTTTTTTTTCATACGCCAATTCAAAAAAAAGGTTTCAATTATTGGTATTTATATTATGAATTTTTCTAAATAAGTTATCAAAAGTCTCTTTTATGAAAATTATAAGTAATTTATCTGTATAAGAGTTTCAAAAGTTATTTTATTAAGTTTTTGGCTCTCGGTAGTTTAAAAGTAATCTATTATATATTAGGGTCGATAATATAGGTCATGATACGATAACACGAATTGAAAACAGCATAAATTTTGTAGGTTAAATAAATAAATAAAAAGAGACCCATGTCATATTTGGGTCGACACAAAATTGACACGAAAAATACGGGTCAATTTTGGGTTAAACCTATCTAACCCAAACACGGAACGAAATTCATAAAAAAAAATTAAAAAATATATTTTTTGTTACATATTTTAGATTTTATTATGAATATGTGATATCATGATAGTTATTCTTAAAATCTTATACTATAACTTGCTCAATTTTGATGGATGTTATCGTATTTTAAAGTGGTATGAATTTTAAGTTATTTCTAATGTGTAAAAAACTCAATAAATGTATGTAATATTTGTGTCAATTTCGGGTTCATGAGTCATTTTTGAGTCGTGTTATGTTTGGATTAACTGTAAATTTAGAAAAAAATAATCAAAACATGACACGAATACGAGTACATGTGGCACGAATTACTACTCCTATCTATTATTATGTCTCTTTTTATGAGAGTTTCACAAGTAAAGATGAATTTTATTATTATTGTGCATACATGTGGTTCTTAGTAAACTATATCTTCTGTTATTTATTCTCTTTTATTTTCATCATCTCGGCAACATACTCTGAATACAGAATATAAAACGAATGGAAGGATTTTTTCTCTTCCTTCCTCGTATATGTTGTTCACTTTTTCTTAGTTGAAATTCACCACTTTGCAGGATCTTTTCAACCATGTTGATTGCTATCCTTCTTTTAAGATAAGTCTCGTTATATTTTTTCTTTTTTATTGTATTATTATTTACTATATATTTTATTTTCTATACTAATTATGCTATTGGTGATCCCTAAGTATTTGCTGGTGCGTAATTCTTTTCCATTGTTGCTGCTATCTTATGTCTTTTCTTGTTCCGGACAATTTGGTTATATGATTTTACTCTTTTTTTTATTCGGGAATGGTTTGGTTTACATTAATAGTTAGATCTTTGTCTATCACGGATCGTCTTTGTATTTAGAATACTTTCTACCTATCCTAAAAAAAAGTTAGTTGGTGTTATATTATTTTTGTTTGGAAGGAAAAAAAAAAAAAAAAAAAAGGCCAGTAGCTGTAATTAGAATTTTGACTATTTGTTTGAACCTTTTTTTTTTTTTTTTTTGTATAATGAGTGGAAATTTTTTTTTTATTTGTTATAGAATTGAATGGAAAATGTGTTGCACAATACAACGACGCAGACTCACAATATACACGCAATGTACCTTTTTTTTTCTTCCTTTTGCTTATAAGCCCTCTTTGTCTGCCCGTAATGGGAACTAAAAACTAGAAAAAGTATACACAGAGAGAAGATTTGACGAGAAATACAAATATCTGCGGTTTGCAATGAGAAATTTCAGTTAGAAAGGTAAAACTGCTGCAACTACAAATTGGAAAAATACTCTAGAAAAAAAAAAGTAAGGGAAAAAGAGAAAAAATCAAGTGGGTTGGATTCTGAAAGATCAACTTTATGAGATGTTTGTTTTAAGAGTTCGTTCTTAGTTCTGTATTATAATTCTTAGTTCTTTAAAATATTTTTTTTCTCTTAAAAAATTTAAATTTAAAAAATTAAAATAATAAATCGTGATTCTGAATTTATAAACCAGACTTTTTAAGGGCTTATTTAATTCGCTGATTTGAGTTTTTAATTTAAGTTAAGATGTGATTTTATGTAAGAGTTTTTTATTGTAGTAAAAAAATTAAATGTAATTATTTATAAAATTTTTTTATTATAATAAAATTTAAATTTTAAACTTAAATTAGTGAAATAAATGGAGCCTAAAACACTCAAATTAATAAAGCCAATGATCTTGAGGGTATATCTGTCCTAATAACAGAACTGCTGAGTCTGAAAAAACCCAGTGCACTTTTTAAAGAAAAGTACGCGGTTTGCTTCCGCCGTAACACATAAAACATCGTCCATAAAAATATTTACACGATATTCTGCATGTGACGAAAGGATTGCGCGGTGGCTGTGTTACCTGTGTAGCAGGACGGGAAAAAAAAATAAAGACAGAGAAATTGTTGCGGCGTCCTCTTTATTCTTATTTTGTGAACTGCATAAGTGGAATATAGCCTGGGGAAAAAAAAAAAATAAGATTATTTCTTTTCCAAACAAAATATCTATATATATTTACTGGGCAAATGAGTAATTGCGATAGGTATCTCTCTTTTTCTTTTCTTTCTTTTTCTGTTTTTGGGTAAGAAATGAGCGGCCACAAGCACTTTTTTTTTTTTTTTTTTTTTTTTCTTCCTTTTAAGAGGGGCCATAAGCACTTGCCTATGAAAACTCGGGTTTACTGGAATATAGATAAGACGGTGTGTGCCACACGTGATGTGAACCTTATTTCATAGATTTTATCCAAAACCTATTTTTCCACATGACAATAATGCCATGAACCCCAAATGGAAACACAAGAAACATTCAAGAATAATGTCTCTAATGCCCTACAGTCATATATACTTTTCTTTTTCAATTTAATTTGTTGATCAAAGCTTAATAAGAAGTCTGTAACGTAATTAAAGGAATGGGTGAGGAAAAAAAAATGGATTAGAAAATCCAAACCATGAAACATGCAGTAATTGTCCCGAAACTTCACGAGCAAACTATAAGTTGTTTTTGACTACAAGCACTAGAATTATAGATAAGAGCGATATTCAATCATAAAAAAGAAGTATGGAGTACTATAGAAACTTAGCGTTGTTGTTGGTGCGTTAAGCATATATCTTGTTCCACACGAACAATTTAAAAAGTATTCCTTTTTTTTTTTAAAAGACGGTCAACACAAGCTAACTACTATTATTATTATTATGAATAAACGGAAAGAAATCTGAAAGGGTTGAAAAGGACTCCGTTACTTCGAGAAGTAAGGAATGGTAGGTACTTGGAAGGTTGTAGTGCCGTTTCGTGGAAAATCGTAATATATCCAGTAAAACGCACTACGTACGTTGGTGCTTACGAAGCATATTTCCTACGTTCTACGCTTTTACAGTGTGTTTCACTTCTGCTGACTCGCTTCCTTAATCCCCACTAGCTTTGTAAAACCTTTCATACTCAAACCACTAGCTTTTTATGCTCATGATCTCACGCGAGTTCGTAGAGCGTGGCGCGCAAGCTCCCATTATTATTTGTTAAATGTCCATATCAATTATGAATGATCACTTTTCTTTCTCTTTTTTTTTTTCTTTGATTGAGATATACATGTAAATTACTGTTATTATCTTCTATTTTTAAATATTGTGTTTTTCAAAAAAGAAAATAATATGGACAAATTTTTTTTAGAGCGTTCTCGTAATTTTCAAACGAAAACTACTAGAAAGGAAAAGAAATTCACTAGAGAAAAAAAAAAGCCAAATAATTCTTTAAAATGTTTAATTAATGAAGTATTCCTTTGCTAATCATTTATTTTTTTTAGAAAAAAAAAGAGGAATATAATGTAAGAATAAGAAACGAGGCTGAAAATAATAAGTGTGGAAGAACAAAGAAGGAAATGTGAGAAAAGGAAACAAGCCCAAAAACAATTTTTGTTTTTTAAAAAGGAAAGTAAAAGGAAGCGCGTGTCCTTACTCGAATGGCGCGACTGACTTGGCATGGCGAATAATAGAAAGTTTCTGGAATTGTCAAAAAGCGTAACTCGCAACTTAACATATTCGCTCACCGCAAAAGACTTGTTCACCAAGTTTTGCTGCTCCAACGCGGTGATCAAACGCGGTGACGCACGCTTTTACGAAGGCGGCAACACACTCAAATAGTCAATACCCCCCCACTTGGACCACGCCATCCGCTTCCTCATTCCCCAAGAAACCCCGAAGGGCTTATCCGTCATTTCAAAATCCCCACGTCAGCAGAAAGTCAAAACTTATCTAACTCAATCAAAGCATCCCGTCCTTCCCTCTATAAATACCCCCAACACTCATTCCCTTTTAACGGCATCAAAATTTGCGTCTAACTAACATTTCAACAACTTGTTTGATTTACGAGTTCAGCCATGAAGAGAGGAAGAGATTTGGATTTGGACACGGCCAACTGCTTAATGTTACTGTCGAAAGTCGGCGACACAAAAGCCAACGTTAATGATAAGGTCGATGATAATCACTTCGTGGTGATCAAGAACGAAACAATATCGCCGGGTCGAGTTTTTACGTGCAAGACATGCAACCGGGAGTTCCCGTCGTTCCAGGCGCTGGGAGGGCACAGGGCCAGCCACAAGAAGCTGCCGAAGCTGTTCTCGGCCGACGAAGCGCTGTCGCCGGCGGCCTCGCCGCCGAAGCCGAAGACGCACGAGTGCTCCATCTGCGGCCTCGAGTTCGCCATCGGGCAGGCCCTCGGCGGACACATGAGGAGGCACAGACAGCAAGTGGCAGATCACCATGATCAGCCTGCAGTTGCACGTGACAGACAATTATCCCATGATCATGATGATGATGATTATAAGGCGGCGGCACAGCTGGTGCCGGTGCTGAAGAAGTCGAGCAGCAGCAAGAGGATTTGCTTGGATTTGGATTTGGATTTGCGTTTGGGGCCTCCTGGGAGTCACTATAACGACTTGAAGTTGCGGTTGATGGGTCCCACTTTGGCCGGCTGTTAATTCTTTAGTTATTCATTCAGATTACATACATGTTCATATATCATCAGTAGGTTTTTTTTTTTTTCCCCCTTTTTTGTTGGGTCTAGTAGTACTTCCGGATTCTTTTATAATATTTTGATATATATCTTTTGTATTGATCATGTTTATATTGGGATATAGAGAATTGGGGATTCCTTTTCTTCTTTGCGAGCCGGTTTTAATTTTGATTGATTCCTATAATCTCTTGTCGGTTTAGTTTTATGTTTTTGTTTTAGATTAATTCTAGAAATAATATATCGTGTTTTTGTTAAAACAATATGGATATCCTATTGAATTGCTCTTGTCCCACCTTCATACCAGAAAGTGAGAGAAGGCTCCACTGAAAGAGAGAGGGAAACAGAAAGGAAAAGGAAAAAGGAGCATATAATAAATTACCTTACGTGAAAATCTTATGCATAATAATTAGCAATAATGGTTACGGAAAAACAGGGATTCTACGCGTTTTAGCGAAAATACAGATATAGATCATATACGTACATATGTACTGTACCTCATTAGTAAACTCATATATAAATCTCAAATTGAATTATTGTGCGTACGCATTAATTTCTCGGCAAGAAAATCAAGATTAATATATTAATTGAAAGTTGATTCTGCTTCACTCTTAATTCTTATCATTTATAAGTGTAAGTTTAAAGTGTTTTATTTTATAAATAAATAAATTTATATATATTATAATATTATATGTTACTGGAAATTAAAAAATTGACGTATAAAGATAACAAAACGGTGTGTGTAAATTAGCATTAAAACAATGAAAATTAATCTTATATTTTATTGTGTTTTATGTGATTGTATGTAGGTCGACTGTGGTTTGATATATAATTCAATTTAAGATGAATTACGATACGTGAGTTTAAAGTAGAAGTTAAAAATTTGAAACGGAAAAATTCATGGATGGATTCAATACTAGCTCTTTTTCTTTTTCCTTTTTTTTTTTTTTTCCTTTTTCTAAATACGAAATTAGCTTTTACTTCCCATGTTTCTTGATTAATAGTGCCTAAAATTATTACCCTCCAAGAGAACTTAGGCAACGTCTATTGACAAATAGCTATTTGGAGGGACAATTAAGGAGACAAATTAATGTAACATATGTTAACTCATGTCAATTAGACAATCTTTAATGCAAATAATAATGCCAATTGTATATTTATCATCAAAAAGTGTGATATAGTAGTTATTTTCATTTTTACTCCAATGCATAATGTTATTTGAAATGTTAAATTTTTTTTTTTTTTATAATTATTAAGCTTTGAAAGTTGTAAAAATAAACTTTTATGTTTAAAATAATTAAAAAATGTAAAAGTTACCATGATTACATGAAAAAGTAAACATTTCAACTAATAGCAATTAAATGCTAAATTTCTCATATGTTATACTCAGTGAGAAATTTGCCACAAAACATAGCACATGAAAAATTTGGCACAATAAATAACATTGCATTGGAGAGTATTTTTTGCATTCAAATGCTAAAATTGCAATTGGCACATCAATTATAGCATATGTATTATACCTTTTCTTTTAAAGGCCTAAAATAAAATATAAAAGACAATAAAAAATTACGTTTCTTTATTTATTTATTTTCTTATACAACGAATTCTATAAATACTGGGTTCAGTCATGGTGATGATGAAGATGAACCTAGAAAGACCAGCCGAGATATGATTATGAAATTTTTGCTTTGCGCCATCCCGTCATCTTAATGCATTTTTGTTGCCGACTTATTTCGACTTTCTCTATTTCCCTCTCGGCATAATCAAAATAAGGGTTAATCAAAATAAGGGTTGAAGTTCCATGGAGAGAAAACAAAAAAAAAAAAAATTGTCATAATCTAAGAAGGAAGTAAGTTTGGGATATATAATCAATAATCTCTATCGCTGGTGGTTCTACTTCTATAGGGCGGTCTTGAATCGATGACATTGATTATTCTCCTTCTTCATGTTGTATTTCGTGCAGTAAGTTCCAGTACCACTCTATAACTTGCTCTATTTCTTAAAGAAGAGTCAATAACTGATCTTCTACGTAATCTCTTCCATTTCCTGGGTCGTCCACTAACGTACACGCTAAATTCTTATGTTTTCCATGTGTAGTACTTTGAACAAAAAGAAATCTACCAAATGAAACTTCTTATCTAAATCAAATTTTTTTATAGGCCTTTTAACTTGACAATTTTACTAACTTTGATTTCGATAAGAATTAGGATTCCTAGTATATGACTAACTCTGATTAGGGTTTTTTTTTATCTTTTTCTTTTTTTCCTTTATTTTTTTATTTTTTATTTTTTTTTCTCTTGATTAATGCATATGCGCTTATTCTATGTCTATCAAAATTAAAATGTAAAGATACGCCATTAGTTACGGACTTCTAATACAACTTTATATATAATACTTTTTCTTTAAAAAGCCTAAAATTAAATATAAAAACTGATGGGAAAATTCCATTTCTATGGATTTTTTGTACAGCGAATTCTTTGAGCACTTAAAAAAAATTTAGTACTAGGTTCAGTAAGAGTGTACATCTTTATCAATATATAATACAAAATATTAAATAAATCCAAAAAAATAAACATATCATATATAGATATCAGGCCCGTTTACTTCGCTAATTCGAGTTGAGATATGACTGTTTCTGAGAGTTTTTTACTGCAGTAAAAAAGTGAGATGTGATTATTTTTAAAAACTTTTTACTATAACAAAACTCAAATTTTAAACTCGAATCAGTTAAATAAACTGAGCCATCGATTATTTGAGTACTCATAAGAGAAGTACTTAATCCTATATACAATTTCTCATAAAAGACAGACTTAAACAGAGAGAGAAAAGAGACTTTTTTTTTTTTTCACTTCAAGAGAAGAGACTTATGCATGATTTTTCTCTCCCCTTTTAGATGAATACTTTGTTTGCATGAATATTACGACCAGTACTAACGCGCAAGCCCTTAATTCTTTGTTGCGCAAACGCGCAAACGTACCGGAAAAAAGCAGCTGTTTATTTAAGATCTTGAATATGGTGGATTCTATGACATCTAATAAGTCCTCTCTCTCTCTCTCAATTCAGCAAAAAAAAGTCCTCTCTCTCTCTCTCTCTCTCTCTCTAAATGACTACGTCTAATAATTCTGTGTTGCAATACTACGTGTTACCGAGGTGCATGATATCAAATTCGATATTTATATTGCAATCTTATATCAATTACTTGCGAAATATGGGAGGGTGCTTGGAATTCCTAAAGCTACTAGCCAATATTATAAATACCCATGGCCCTCGTGGGCATAATAGAATTACAAAGTTCTTGACAAATCAATTGATATCATATACATATCGAACGTCAGCATACAAATATACCCCCTAATTAATTAATTATACATAGCAACTAAGCATATAATGTTCGTCTATATATCCTACCTACCTTTAAGATATTATGATAATTACATGAAGCGCCGTTAACAAAATTCTTTTTGGAATACATAAGAGCAGCTTGTTATGCTAAGGAAAGAAAATAAACATATATAAATCTAGAGGTGTTCATCGAATCCGTCAATTCGTCCTATCTGTATAATTCAATTTAATCCGACGGACCGAATTGGATTGAAAGAATTTTGTATTAATAACGGATTAAGATCTTTCCAATTTAAAATTACAGATTAGATGTGATTGAGCATTTCTCATAATCCACCAATCTAAAATATATATATATATATATATTTTTTATTCTCTATATTTTTAAATAGCGCATAATGGATTTTTGTCAATTATTGATAGCATGCATAATGGATTTTTCAAGAACTTGAATTTTATGTTACATCTTGTGTCAAATACTTAAATTTCATGTTAGATTTTGTGTTGTAATGAGCAGATTTTGTAGAGCCATTTTCATTTTAGATTATGTTATGTTTGCATTTAATTTTGTTATTGATTTTTTTTTTTTTTTGAAAATATTGAACATAAAGGGGCTATAAGAGTCAAGGTACAAAATGTAAGTCGATCTGTGGAATCTGTTGTTTTCGGATTGGATTGAGGATTGATAACGAGAGTTAAGATTTTCTCAATTCGCAGTAATAGATTAAATTACGGATTGACTCCTAATTTGCACGTGTAATTCGGTTCACAAACACCCTACTATATAACTTAGATGGAAAAAATAGAAAGAAAAAGCGACGATCTTTCACTTAATGTATTTAGTAAGAATTTTCTCTCTAATTCTTTAATTGAGTATTAGAGATTACAAATGGGGTTATTTGAAAGATTTAAAATCATTTAACCGATTTGAAGGATTTAAAATCTTTCTAGCTGCACTTTTTTTTCCCTCAATTCTCTTAACTGAAAAACCATAGATCTAAAAATCCTTCAACTTTTCTTTCAGATCAAACAAGCCCTATGACACATGTATTTTTTTGTGCTCTACCAACAATACATTATACATATTCTAAAAGAGAGTCAGATTTGTTAATGTTTACTGTACAGTGTTATGAACAGTATTTTCCCTATTTTTTCCTCATTATTTGAGATATTCCCGTGTGTATCCTTTTACACTACTGTACAGTGTTCTCCCCATTTTTTTCCTCCTCATTTGAGATATTCCCATGTGTATCCTTTTACATTGAATAATTTATGTGTTTTTATGTTTATGCCCTTTTCTTAATTTGTTGTTGCTTGGGGCATTTTTATCCTTTTATTGATTAAAAGCCTTAAGGGATGTTTGTTTCATGTATTCATCTCTGATTCTGAATCATGATTCATAGTTCTCTACAGTATTTTTCTCTCACAAAAAAACACACGTAAAACGAAAATAGTTCTGAATCCATAAACCAAACGTCCACTTACTCAAAAATGGAACTTAAAAAAAAGAAAAAGGAAATAAAAGAAATAATTAATGTGGGATAGCTTTTTCAGTTGTTTTTCTGGCGAGAGAGAGATGGACGTGTAGGAAGTTGGTTTATTTCTGCTGAGAGAGAGATAGAGTGATTTGTTCATCGTGTATTTTTCCGTTTTGCTAGAAAAATGGTTTTTCCTCTTCTTCCTTCACTGTCTGAATTTGGTTGTTCTAGATGTTGGTATTTTTTTTTTCCTTCTCTCGGTTTTTCAGATTTTTTTTGTTCTTCAAATTTCTTTTTCTTCTATCGGTTTTGAATATTGATATTTTTCTTCA